GGAAAAGGGAAAAGTAATGAAAACTACACACAAAGTACACAACAAAACATATTTCTGTCTTGTAAATATAAATTAATTTTTTGCAAAAGAACCATTTGGCACTTGGAGGATTTTTGCCTGTGTTGTTTTACAGTTCTAACAGTAAGTTTTGTTCGCATGAATCCCTTTTTCTTCTACTCATGTCTTTAGGTGGTGCGTCCCTCCAATCACGCCACCATCCAGAGCATCGTCAGAGCTGTGGGAATCGTCCCTGGTGTCCCCGAACCGTGCTGCGTTCCAGAGAAGATGAGTCCCCTTAGCGTTCTTTTCCTGGATCCACACAGGAATATGGTGCTAAAGGTTTACCCCGGCATGTCTGTGGATACCTGTGCCTGTCGATAGGGTCGGAGCAATCAATGAAGATAAAAGATTATGAGGAGTTCGTACATGTAGACTCATCATTTGTCAGGAGGGCATTTCCACATCGAAGAGGACAGTAGTGATGAAGACAGCTGAGATAAACTGGACGACTGGCAGGGCTCTAGTTCTTGAGTCTCAGTTTGAGAACTCTTTTCTGGGTCTTGGACTAGTCTCTGTCATGACTGGACGTTGACTCGACTTTTTCCTGCTTTTCTAACATGTTTTTTTCCTCATGTTTTTCTCCACCCGGCCCACCTTTCTTTATTTTTCTCCCCTCATCCAGAAGCAGTTGTAAGAAGTGCACTTAATACACCCCAGTGTACGTAATGCTTCTAAATGTTCTATGTATTGGACGTTGAAGTTAAGCACAAAACTCTTGCAGGTAGATCTTTGTCTCTGATCCTTTATAAACTTTTTCAGTCCCTTTCTTCACTTTTATAAAGTGATTTTGCCTGATTTAATATAAGACAAGAACAACTCACTCAGCTTGGACCTGGTTTTGTGATTGGTTTCAACTTTACTAAGCTCAACGTCTTTCAACATTTCCTGACTGCTTGCGGGCATCAGTATCCTCTACTGTTTGACACTGTCTTTAGGATTCAACTGAATTTCGAACAAACTGATAAACTGCACACAGACTCACAGACTCAGGAGGGTCTGAGGGACACAGAGGCTGCATGGCAGCACACTTATATCCTACCCAAATTAATTAACCCTTGTCATGAAAATACTGTAGTTACTAATGCAAACTAAATGGTACTTCTTAATAAGTGATGTTACTGAACACCTCCCACCTATTAGCAAGAAATGTTATTCATGCATGAGAGGTAATATCGTCTTTGAACTATAATTCAATAGCCATTTGTTTATATTTTGTATATAATGAGTGTATTTTGACTCCTACTGAGATTTAATGTAGTACGAGCATTTTGTAGCTTGTTTCTGCTACATGTTACAGCACAGAGGGAAAGCAGTGCTTTGCTGCCACCTGCTGTGCATTTTGAGAAAGCTTAAGGGGCTAAAACATACATACTAAAAATGTTCAAGTACTCCTTGTGGCTATTCACTATTTCCCTTTAATACATAAATACTGTTAATCAAAGATGACATGTACAGTTTGTAATAATAATAGATTTCCATAGTAGGTAAAATGGGATAAATGTATCCAACCTTATAACGTATGGCTAAAAGTGTATTTGTAAGTGTGATGTGTGCTTCAACAAATCATAGTCATGATGTATAACATGGTAAGGAAATAAACTGAATTGTACATACGGTCTAATTGTAGATACCTGCTGACTTTGTGAGGTTTTTTACTATAGACATATACCACACAATAACTTACTGTCTGTCAATGCCCACATACACATTTGATAGATAACATCACATTAGATTGCATATATTTTATTTAAAGTTAGGTTGATGTCTTTGATGCATAATACTAATCCTGAAAATAACAGTGTCTTTCTTCTCTGAAAAACGCTAGAATTAAGAAGTCTGGGAAACCTGTATTGTATTGATACTTGATTATATTAAATGGTCATTTTTGTTTAGTTCATCACATGACGGCAGTAACGTAATGTTCACTTTTCAGGCCGCAACTTTACTGTTATGGTTCACTCCTACCACTTTCATCATCTTTGTTTCTAGCAGGCAGATATTTTCATGACTGAAAAGCAGAGAAACAAAGTCAGCAACTAGCTGGTGAACCCTATAGAGCATTTAGCAGCTATAGAGCCACACATTTCCCTCGAGTCTTGATTGAGAGCAAAAACAGAGCAAAAAGTAGAGTGAACATTGGACTTATGTTTGTCAGGTTGACATAAACACGACTCCAATTAATGCAAATGTTGCTCCGTGTCTGCTGCTTTAAAGGGTCAGCAGTTTGTTCCTCTGCGCTCAAGTAGCCAAAAAATAACACTGCTTTAAAGAGCTGTTACAATTAGTAAAAGAGTTTAAATGTTGCATAATGGTTTAAATATTGTTTCAAAGCCTTTTGCACCCCGATAAGAAAGAAACATTTGGATACTTCTGAATTTCGTGACTTGAAAACTTGTGTTATATATTGGAACTGAACGTTGGCTATTGCAAGCCTCCATATAATTTTAACCATCAAACACCATAGGCTATTGGCCAAGAATTTAATAGGTTTTTACTGCATATTTTTGAACCCAGCAATTTGGCCTAAAATGACTTTCTCCCGTCCAGTTTTTCTCCCGTCCCTGTGTTTGTTTCCCTCCTGCATGCCTAAACTATTTGCTGTATCGACGCCAGTAGATTTTGTCAACGCCTTTCATCACTGATTGACTCCATAGAGAGGAACTCTTAAACGCTTGAAAGGACCACAATGAAAGCATTTTTATAAAACCAGTGAAACAAGTGCCTGGGTAAGACAGAAATTCCAAGAAAAGCCGGACTCAGGCCAACGTCCCCGGACACATTGGCTTGTGGTTCAGGCTCAAACCCCCCACAGGAACGAGGGGCAGATCCCATCATCCATCTACATACAGTACTGAATGTAGAGCTGAAGGCCACCACCGTTGTGTCTTTGTTCCATTTGCCAGTGGTGTGAATTAATGCTCTCTGCTCTCATGCCTCTCATCAGATTTTATAGATTCCCTCTATAAACCTATTTCGTTCATGAACATTTTCCCATGTGTTGCTCTACATCTGGTTGTTCTTTGTTTAAAGTGCAAAGGAAATTATGTATCCTATGTTTTTTGTTTGCTTGGAATAGACAGAAGAAGAGGTAGCTAGTTAGTGATTGCAACCATGGATGATCAGAGCACTAAATCCACCTACATGAACTTCATATACAGAAAATACAATGAGAAACGTGCGAGAGTACACGCACTGCTTGACCAACGATCAATCTCTGCAAAGAAGAAAAACAATTGCACAATCGAGAAAATTCAGATTATCTGTCAGATTATCTGTGGAAAACAGCTGACATTCCAACCTTAAGTGTAAATTTGTTCTCTTTATATTGTTTTTTCTATTTGTAGCTCAATTTTATTATGGAAGGAAGGAGTTCACATGCAGTCTCTGTGAAGCCTTTACGTTCCGTTCTTGAAAAAATTACTTTTGTGCTGCAACTTCATTACCTTTTTATTTTGACAAATTCATATGCAAGTGGGTCCATGAGCTGATTTTACTGGTAGGGGAGACCGGGTATGGTTGTAACATGGGGAGGGTTGTAACCAATTCCACCAATTAGGGATAAGATAGGAGTCGTGTGACCATTTCAGTATTTACGTACTTCCTCCCAGATCCCCCATGGTGGTTGTCAAGGCTGGAAACAGGCACACAATATATAGAGATTTTTTTTTACCAAGACTATATTTTGTTTAGTATCTATACTATTGTAGATCAAATGATATGACTTTGAGATTGAGATTAAAATGTAGTTTCTTAGGCAACATGTGATGTATTTTCCCCTGCTTATTTCAAACCACTATGCTAATACAGCTAGCTATACGAAGGCTGACAGGGGTGGGGTGGGTTGTAATACTTCTTTAAAAAAAATGTTACAACCATCCCCTATGAATACAAAAAAGGACTTTATTGATTTTAACATTTTACAGACGACCTGCGACCCTGTACACAGGACAAGCGGTTAACAATGGATGGATGGATGGATACATTTTTTTTAAATATACACACAGTGACACACACACACACACACACACACACACATACATTAGTGTGACCTGATGAGAGTAGGTGAAATTCGGGACAGGGGAGTTGCGGGTGGGCGTGGTCTTTTGTCTAACTGTTACGTTAGGTTGTAACAGTAACACCATGTATTTGACATCGACTCACAAAGTCTGCAATATTCTTGTAGAGTATTAAATTGATAAATAAAGTAAATCATTTTTTGGCTGGTCTCAATATGAGGTCAATTTGTCATTGTACAGTTTGGGAACATCAGAAACTTAAGTAATTTGTTTGTCTTCCATCTTTCAGTTCAAGCAGTGGTCAACAGCAATTGGCTGCACCCAATGTCAGTGTAGCTCAGATCAAACAAATTTGAATCCCATACTGAACCATAATGAAAGAGGGATGTGATTTTGTGAATACACCTTTAGTCTTACATTATATTAATTGGTAATTGATATCTGTTCTGTGACATGCAGCTATAAGTGGAGCACAATTTAAAGCATTGGATTCAAATGTCCATAGTGTGAAATTAGCTATAACATTGTAATTTCACATTGTTGTATTGCTACTAACTTCCTTATCACCACTTTTAAAGGGATCAAAGTCATTGGTTTTGATTTTCCATTTTGGTATTTGGAACATGTCCTTGATCTGCAATGTATGGAAACAAGTGTTTTAAAAACCTGAGAGAAATATGTAGCAGTAATGGCGGTGAAGAATGCAATGTGCTATTAGTGTTTTGTTTCCTCTGGCTTCAAATGTTTCACCCTCAAATGGGAAAAGTCATTTTGTGGAAATGTCTGCTTGTCAGTAACCTCACAGTTTCCAGTGCCTCTCTCATTATATCAGACAAGTGTTTACACTGTCTTCATTAGCAGCCAGCCCTCTAATGATAACAACACTTAAAAGAAGGCATCAATGGTAGTGATAAGCATGGCCAAGCTATTTTGGTTGACACAAGTTCCCCTGTTTACTCTGGGAGCATGGGAGCGGACATCAGAACGGTGGTTCTTGCATTGCGGATCTCCATTTTCAAACCTTGCCATCGTAAAGTCTGTTTTCAAGCCGGGAAGAAGGCAAATTTTGAGCCAGCTCAGTGACTTAGAAAGAATCTAATCTCAACATGCAGAGCTCCAGGTCAATCCTGTTCCAGGTGTGTTTGAGTCTGGTGGTTTCTATTGGTTCCTGCACCTGCAAACCTCTCAATAATGACATCCAGAGAGAGGACCCTGAGGGACACTACTCACAGCTATCAGAGGAGGACCTTCTGGAGGAGGAAGACACCGACTCCAGGATCGAGAACCTCCTGGGAACCATGAAGGAGGGTTTTTTGAGGAAACTCAACCTGTCAGATGTTCCTCAGGAGCACAGCAAGATCTACCCTCCTCAGTTCATGATGGAGCTCTACAACAAGTACGCCTCGGACAGCTTGGCAATCCCTCAGTCTGATGTCATACGAAGCTTCACTGTCCAAGGTACGTGACCAGTGTTTAACTTTGACATGAGAGGAGTATGTGCAGTAATCTTCTGTGTAGTTTATGGGAGGGGGAGACTCTCCATTTTCAAAGAGTTAACACTTAGTGTGTGGGTATTTTTTCCTTGTTAATCCCTGTACTAAATAAATTTATAAACATTTGGAAATCCCTACCCACCAAATGTATAATTTAGGTTATCTCGTTTAGATAGATGGCCAATGTTATCTAGATTATCTAGAGGTTTTTGCCTCCTCACAACAACAGAATATCTGGCAGCATTTTCTTGGCACATTTTATTTAATTTAAATTAATTTAATTAACTTCAAGTTTGGGGTTCCTTTGGTGGATTTTATTTTATATTGCTCTAAACTGGTGGCTTCCAACTGTTTTGGCCTGTGACCCCTTTTTTTGCGTAGCAGAATTATACCTTTTCAGGTCCTCTCTAGTTATTTATCTTACAAACCCTCATATAAATTTATATAGTTTTATTATTGGTGCAAGAGGCAGTACATAAATGCAAACAGAGGTAAAGACATACATGTACTCAAAACAACAACAAAAACCTTCAAATGTATCTTGTGACCCAACCTGTATGAAATGCTTGTTTTTCTTTCCTAGAAATGGCCAAATAAAGAGAAAGAGATTTCTTTTAATTTCACTTGAAGTCAGACTGCACAAATCCCAGATGCTGTTTCAAATAAATCCTCTGAAATCTTTCTATCTCTCCAACAGATATCACTCTCTCTCTAACAAATGGCACAAAGTCAAAACACAGACTGCAGTTTAACGTCAGCATCCCCAACCATGAAAAGATCACTACTGCTGAACTACAGCTCTTCTTCTTCCCAGATCCCAGGTCAAGGGTCACCTCCCACAGTTTCAAGGCCACGGTCAAAGTCTATGAAGTGGATTACAACGATTTCACATCCGCCACCCAATTACTGGTTGGCAAAGAGGTGACAGGCTCACAGAGCACGTGGGAGACGTTGGATGTGACCAGAGCTTTTCAGAGCTGGATCAAGTTGGGCCATGGAGCAACTTTTTTTGATGTAGTGGTGGATAGGAAGATCTGTGGGTCTTCTAATGATGGAGAAGAAGGAGCAGGCTGTTTAAATATGAGCTTGTCTGTTGGAGATAGCACTTCAGCAGCGTTAATAGTGTTCTCAGATGACTTGGGTAGCAGGAGGAGGGAGACAAAGAAGGAATTAAGAGAGATGATCCTCCACGAAGAAGAAACCATCTTGCACTCGGGTGCCGACTGGAATAGAGGAGATCAGCTTCCAAATGAGATCTCGGAGGCCCAGCATCCACGGAGACAGAAACGAAAGGCAGAGAGGGAATACTGCCGACGGACCTCTCTCAAGGTCAACTTTAAAGACATCGGCTGGGACAGCTGGATCGTGGCGCCTCCAGAATATGACGCGTTTGAATGTCGAGGCCTGTGTTACCACCCGCTGACGGACGAGTCGACCCCGTCAAAACACGCCCTCATCCAGACGTTGATCAACATCAGGAATCCCAAGAAGGCCAACATGGCGTGCTGCGTTCCCATCAGACTAGACCCCATCACAGTCATGTATCAGGAGAATGGACGCCTCACTATAAGATACCTTTATGAAGAGATGAAGGTGGCAGAGTGTGGCTGCAGGTAGTCAGAGTGAATTAATTTGCTCTGGTGGTAGCACAGATGATTATAATGGTTCTAATGCTGCATTTCATTCATGTCAGTCCGATTTTCATGCGCTCTATTGGTCCAGTAGAGGAAATGTAGACGCATCCTACTAGCGTGTTAGCATGCGAACATTTGCTAATCAGCACTAAATACAAAGTACAGCTGAGGTTGATAGTAATATCATTTGTTTTGCAGTTAATTAGTCAAACCTAAACCTGATGTATTAAAGGTGCCGTAGAATAGCCCACTCATTTTCAGGTTCATACTAGGATCTCTACTAGAAAATGTTTACATGCTTTAATGTTCAAAAAAACACATTATATTTTCATATTTTCCACTGCTTCAGCATTTCTTTTCACCCTCTGTCTAAACACTCTGAGCTTCTGTCTCTTTAAGGCCCCAATCCCTGAAAGCCCACTTGCTTCAGATTGGCCAACTTTCCCAAGCACAACAGAGGGGCGGGACTTGATTGTTAAGGCCTGCTGTGTGAGACTGATTAATTACTGTACAAAAACACAACTTCATTTAACTTTATTCACTGGTTTTGGTGAAACTGAATCAGATTTGATGGTTTTCTCTCTTATGTCTTCCGGGGGCTCTGCCTTCACTTTTGGTGAAGAGTTTGTATGTTGCTGGTTACTTTAGCCGCTAACTACTGCTATCAGCAGCCCTGCTAGCAACTCATTTAGCCGTGCAGCTAGCCGTCCTATTGCTGATTCTGCCCAGACTTGAAGCTTGGTGCTCCTGGGGTGTGTTGGTGTTTATCTTTAAATCAGTACAGAAGCTTTGGACTGCTGGTTCAGATACAGCCAGAGGACATCAGAGGGAAAAACAAAAAATATTTACCTTTCCTTCATAACCGTAAAAGTACTTTCTGTAAGACATAGGCTACTGAACAACCTCTAGCTCTTGCTTGATGAGCTCATATGACACTCTTCTCTGGAAAGTGGGCTGGTATATGTAAATTGTGGGGGTGTGAATATTAAGGAGCCCAGATGCACGTCACATCTAGCACTTGTTGGCATTCGCCCACTTTTCCGGGGTCTATTGCGTGCGCAATATTTACATATGAAAGAGGAGACTATGGTGACTGAGGCTCACAGTATGTCAGTTCCATGTACTGAACTATTTTCATTCAAGGTAAATACAGTTTTCCATTCTATGGCACCTTTAAGTAAGTAAGTAAGTGAGGAAATAGAAGACCAAAAGAAGTTTTAACCTGATGATGGCGCTAGATGAAAAGCTAATAAAATTCATCGACTGGAGATCATGAATGTGTCTACCAAATTTCACAGCAAATCCATCCGAAAGCTGTCAAGATATATATAAATAAAATGTCAACTTCATGGTATCAGGGAAAAAGTCAGGGAATCACCAAAGTCAATAGGACTCATCCTCTGGAGGCCACGAATGTCTGCACAAAACGACTTGAAAACAACTATTGAGATATTTCGGACTGGACCAAAGAGGTGGACTGATTGACTGACCTACCAACAGACCGATATTGCCATCCCTCAAGCCATGCTGCTAGCATGGCTAAGAATATAGTGGTTATGCTCTACTGAAATTAAACATACTGTATATATATATATTTGACAAACATAGCGTGAAATAATGCTAAGTTGCATTTACACTTGATGCTATTCCTTTAAATGTATTGCTAACAAAAAGTTTGAAAATCAAAAATAGTGATATGTCTGAAATGCAGCAAAACATCCTCAACAGGTGAATTACATACACCTCAATCCAGATCCCCATTTCTGCCCCCTTGTTCGTCCCTGTGACAAAAAATATATAATAAAATAAATAATAAAGAAGTCTAAGGAGTATATTAAAACTCCCTTGTTAAAGCAAAATCTTTCTGGCACAACATGGTATCCATCTTCTCATACTGCCAGACTGCTGGGAGTAGGACAGGACAAAAACTCAAATAAAAAACTTTGTGTTTTCCACTGTACATGCTGGTGCTGAAATTATTTCTAATAAAATCCTGTGGCTTTTATGTAATAAATTATGTTTTTTAGTATTACACACCAGCAAGCAGAAAACCAAAGAACCCAAACATCTTTAACATCTGCTTATCCATTTTAATGTAAATCTGTACATTCGCATTGTAGCTGTAATTTGTTTATATTAAATATATTTAGTAGTAGTCTGTAAGTTACTGCTATACAGACTTGTACAGAATAGTCAGCTTGTACATGCATGTCACATTGCTGATGTTGCATCCACCACAAGAGAAACTGTCATGACAGTTCTGTGTTGCTATGCTGTAACAAACTCCTACCATTGACATCTATATAAGGCTGATATTCCTTTTATAAAAAAAAACATCCAGAATTTGATTGATATAACCTGCAGTTTCAATCCACCAAATCTATAATAAAGCTGCTACCCCTAAAAAGTGTCTAGATTCCAGTGGGGAGTTTTTATTGTACTGTATGTCTCATGATGTCTGCATTTTGTTTCTGAGGCTTTTCCTACACTGAAATAAATAAAAATAGTCACAAAATGCTGTTTTGAAGGCAAGGAGTGGTCACACCAAATATTGATTTAATTTAGATTTTTCTTCTGCTCATTCACTTTTTGTATTTTGTTAACTGATAAATATAATCTATTAACATGTCTATTTCTGAAAGCATTCTTCCTTTATAGCATTTATTCCACACATGCCTAAAACCTTTGCATAGTACATATATAGTATAGTATAAGCTCATGTGACCTCCTGGCTCAGTCAGACCTGAACAATAGTTAACCCCTTGACGCCGATTGTCGTGAATTCGCATCACACCTCTTCCTTGCAGACTGCAAGCCAAGATAGCACATAGATTCCCCCAATGCCTGTTGGTGCATATTCGATACGTACCTAGGAACCTTTTGCAAGCCCTGGTTTCTCGTTTATGCCTGTTGTCGCTAATTTGCATCATACCTACACATACCTGAATTTATATTTTTTCTATGTTCTATAGACAAATTAACAATCTTCACTTAATTTAACATCAGCTTGAAAGCAAATGAATACACAATTTTTTATTTTTTTTTTATTGTAAAAAAAATTCAGGCATTAAGGGGTTAAGACTCTTAAATTTCTACTTACACTCTACAAAAATCTGCTTATGTGCCTAGTGAAATACTGAAATTGGCTGGTGACCTTTTGTTGTAGTATTTATAATTCTATAATACCATGAGGAGCAAAGAGTTCATGTTTCATGTTGTACTGTTCCTTTAACTTTGTGACTGTTTCTTGTAGTTTTTTACCTAAAATGCTGAATCATGTGGATTGATATATTTTCATTTTAATGTTTCTTTTGTATAGTGTGAAAGTTTATTAATTAAGTTTATTAAGTTTAATTATTATCACATCACAGGAACATGTTTTAACAATATTGTAACTGCTGTTGTTAAACCACCAAATCACATGAAAGAAAAAAACATGTACCCTGGAATATAATTCTTAAATCTTATGCTCAAATATTGTCAGGAAGGGTGATGTATGGAGAAGGTTTGAGGACCCAAATGCAGGACACGAAGGCTGAACAGGTACACTTCAATGATATTTATTTAACAACTAAGAGCGGGCACACTTACTGAGAGTGGCTGAGTCCAGTAAATCCAAAATAATGAACAATCCAAACAAGCAAGTTGATCTAAAACTAAATCCAAAAGGCAACATCCGAAAATCCACAAGCACAGACAGGTTAAGCAGGACACGACACGACAGGGCATAAAACACAGCACAAGACAGAGCATGACAAGCAACAAAGACCAGACAGACTGGGGGAACAGACAAGATCACACACACGTCTGCCATGTATGCATGCAGTGGAGAATTATATTCACAGTCGGATTTAGCAGTGAGGAAATACTCATGAGTTTAGCCCACAATCACTATATTACCATCCACCTTAGAGACTTTGCTGTGAATTGGGAGTATTTAGAGGAAAACACCAGAGTGATTGGGATTTTTTGTGATTTTAATTTCAGGGAATTTCCAAGTTTTGTTCTTGTAAATCTTCACTTTTCATCTAGGAAATTTTTTCTCGGTTTCGGCCTATTAACCCCCTCCCTGGCTCAGTAGGACTACTTTCTGGACACGTAAAATAGTCAATCTAAATGTGGGAAAACACTTAGGATAATTCAATTATAGCCCACAGATGGGCTACATCTCCGAAACTGTCCCGTTAATTAATTAAGATCTCCTCCCTAAAATCACTGAGGCTGCAGGGCTCGCTGTATGAACATAATGCTGTTGTGTTAATAATAACTTAATTCCAGCTGCAACCGCACTGGAACAAATCAGGATGAAATCTAAAAATATTTTATCAAGTGGTATGTATTATCAAGTGATTACAGAGTACAGATGTGGTGTGTAGTCCACACATAGGCTACAGGGTAACCTCGAGTTAATCACGAACATAACCTGCTCAGAGCAGTTTAGAGATGCAGCGTAAATTGCCATGGCAAGGGACCCCGGGTAACACCTGTCCACTTTTCATAGTACGGGTTAATCGCGAAGTTACACCCAACGTCACAAAGTTACTCCTGAAGTTACCTGGATAAGCCAGTTACCTCGCTTCGTAGTAGCCTACAGGCCAGTGGTCCTGTTGTTGTTGTTGTTGTTGTTGTTTTTATAGCCAATACAGTGGTAGAAATACAAACATTAAACCTTAAGTCTGCATCAATTGATTTTTGTTTGGACAAAAAGCTGTAAACACAAAACTGACAAATAATCATCATATAAAGTTGATATGCCTAATGTGTTAGCATTTCGGTTCACCTGACCAATTTAAGTTCAATATTCACTCTCTTTTTACTTCTGTTTTGCTGTCCTCCAACTCCTGAGAAACTTTTATACTACTTTATATGGCTCTTTAGCTGCTATTGCTCCACTCTATTTACCAGCTAGTTGCTAACTTTGTCTGTTGTCTGCTATTTGGTGCTTGGCAGATGTATAGTGGTGTCTTTGTAGCTGTTATGCTAAAAACTGCTGCCTGCTGTGTCTGGAAAAGATGCTGAGAAGATGAAATCGGATCAAATGACAAAGTTGTGGGCCTGACAATGAGTTATACAACTGACATGCAAGTTATACAACAACATTATATCAGCCCAAAGAGCAGCCCTCCCTACAGGGAACATTTGGAAGCAAATTTCACAATTTGGTTGCTGTTGTATTTCAAGCAAGTTAGCAGTTCAGGGATTTCAATATCCAAACCATTGCTGATACCTGTTCTTACATATGTTACACGAGGGTGTTTAAAAGTCTTGATTGGTGCCCTGGGAATTGGCAACAGTGATTGTATTATATAAGGGGTGAGGCAATCTAAATGGTTAAGACATTAAGATTAGCTGAGCACCGTCTAGCATTTGGAAGGAGATAATGTCTGGCTGCAGAATTCTGAGCTGCAGTATTGTCTGGATCAGGGTCTTATGGGGTCATGCGTTGAAGCTGAATTAAAGGATGAAAAGTTGTCAATGACATATTATTCACACGGACACTTTCCTTGTTACACTATTCACCAAATAATAAAATAATATCATTTTTGATTATGAAAAATACAAAACACTAAGCACATAAGTCAATAGTATAAAAAATAGCAAGGCAAGAGGAAGGAGAGTCAGCAAATAATTCAGTGTTCAATCCAGATAAAGACTTTCCAATCAACCTTTTGTTCCTATACCCAGTGTGTGTGTGCGTTTTTTTTTTTTTCTTTTACCCAATTCTGATCCTGCATGTGTTTTAAGAAGGCTTTGCCACGTGTCCACAAACTGTGTAATCAAGTCACCGGTGGAGCGACCCAGACATGACCCCTAAAGCTATCAACCTTACCAAAATACACCACTATAAGCTTTAGTAATAGACCAGGGAGAGAAAGTGAGAGGGAGGAGCGAGAGAGTTTCCGATCAGGCTTTCGCGTCAATCAGTCCACCCTGAACACGTGTTTCACCTGTTCCTCGATGCAGTTTTGTATCTGAAAGAAAAGCTGAGGTGTTTTTAGTATAATAACAATAACATATGGTGAATTCGGGAAACAATGCATACTGTAATTCAAGCCTAAAGAAGACTACTGCCTAATTGTAGCAATAGTAAATTGTGTCAAGTACATTAAGCCCCTTGGACAAAGACAAAGTAACTGCAAAAGAGAAAAAAAAATGCAATAGCCCAATCATGCATTGTGTATGTGTGGGGAAAAGAGAAAAAACTGGACAGACTTCATTCACCAATTTTTATTTTGTCTTTCATTGTCTGCTGGCTGAAGCACCACAGATAATGCGATTAAAGGTTTATTGGGGACAAAAGCCTCTTATGTTGTTGTCCAAAAAACCCAACAATGATAGTATTCCCTCCTACAAAAATCACAATCTCTCTACACAGACAAATGTACTAACACAGACTGGTGAAAGAGAAGACAAAGTAGTTCTCTTTCCATCAGTGTTGATGAAGATATTTGCGATGGCGCAAGACAAACCACCACTGCTACTGATGCTTCTTCTATCTACTCTGTCTTTCAACTCATCATTCCAGCCCGCTCTGGTGTTAGAAATGGCCAAGATTCTTTTGGAAAACTACTGCTTCCCTGAGAACCTGGTTGGGATGCAGGAGGCCATCCAGCAAGCAATCAAAAGTGGAGAAATCCTGCAGATTTCAGACAGGAAGACCCTGGCAACTGTTCTCACAGTCGGAGTACAAGGGGCACTGAACGATCCGCGGTTGACTGTGTCATATGAGCCCAATTTTGTCCCAGTGATGCCACCGACGCTGCCGTCTCTTCCCATAGAGCAGTTGATATGGCTGGTGAGAAACTCTGTCAAGCTGGATATCCTGGACAACAACGTTGGACATTTGCGGATAGATCGGATCATTGGGGAGGAGACGGCTACAAAGCTTGGGTCTGTGCTGCAGGACAACATCTGGGACAAAGTTGCTCAGACTTCCTCATTGATCCTTGACCTGAGGTATAGCACAGGTGGAGAATTGTCTGGAGTTCCCTTTATAATTTCCTATTTCTCTGATTCTGAGCCCCTCATTCACATTGACACGGTTTATGACAGGCCCTCAAATACAACCAGGGAACTGTGGACCATGCCAGTAGTAGGGGGAAAGTATGGAAAGAAGAAAGACATGATTATTTTAACCAGTAAGCGTACAGTGGGGGCTGCTGAGGCAGTGGCATATACATTAAAAAACCTGAAGAGGGCCATCACAGTTGGAGAAACGACTGCTGGTGGGTCAGTAAAAGTCCAAAAGATTAGGATCCCTCAGTCAGAGTTCTACATAACAGTTCCTGTGGCAAGATCAGTCAGCCCAATCACAGGCCAAAGCTGGGAAGTGAGTGGCGTTTCCCCAACAGTCAACGTCATTGCTAAGGAAGCTGTCGCAAAAGCCAAGTCCCTTCTGGCTATAAGGAGTGCCGTTCCAAAAATTGTGAAAAGAATCTCTGACATAATCGGGAGGTTTTATGCTTTCACCGACCGAGCTCCAGCGCTTCTTCAACAGCTGCAATCCACAGACTTATTCTCTGTCGTATCTGAGGAGGACCTAGCATTCAGACTCAACCACGACCTCCAGACTGTGTCTGAAGATCCACGTTTGATCATCAAATACATACAAGACAGTGCTGCCATAGGAGAGGAGGACTCTGAGCTTTACAACGTTCCAGAAGATATAACATTTTTAAGCGCACTTGTTGATACAACGTTTAAAGTGGAAATTCTTCCACACAATACTGGCTATCTCCGCTTTGACAAGTTTGTCAAGTCATCTGCAGGGGCTAAACTAGAAGAGTTTTTGGCTAAAAAGGTATGGGAGCCCCTCAAAGACACTAATAACCTGATTATTGATCTACGCTATAACACTGGTGGATCCTCTACCTCTCTAGCCCTTATACTGTCCTATCTTAAGGACACTTCCCAGAAGCATCACTTTTTCACAATATATGACAGAATTCAGAACACAACAACAGAATATGATTCTCTGTCTCAAATTACAGGCCCGACCTATGGCTCCAAACGTGGGGTTTATGTATTGACAAGCTACTATACAGCAAGTGTCGGCGAAGAGTTTGCTTACCTGATACAGTCACTACATTACGGCACAGTCATTGGGGAAATTACATCTGGTACCCTGAATCACTCAAAGACGTTTCGAATACAGGGGACAAATATTGCCATCACCGTCCCTTTCATAAACTTTTTAGACAACAATGGTGAATGCTGGCTGGGAGGTGGTGTGGTCCCCGATGCCATTGTGCTAGCCGAGGAAGCTCTGGAGCATGTTCATGAGATTGCAGATTTTCACCAAGGGCTCAGGTCCCTCATAGATAGAACTGGGGAATTGTTAGAAAAACACTATGCCATTCATGAAGTCGCTCTAGAGGTCAGCAAGGTACTGTTGAGCAAATGGGCTGAGGGTTTGTACCGGTCAGTGGTTGACTTTGAATCTTTGGCATCTCAGTTGACGGCAGACCTCCAAGAGACTTCAGGTGATCACCGCCTCCATGTCTTCCACTGCGATATTGAGCCTGAGTCGCTTCATGACGTTCCAAAGATCCCTACAGCTGAAGAAGTGGGCTACATGATTGACGCTTTGTTTAAAATTGAGCTTCTGCCAGGTAATGTTGGCTATCTAAGGTTTGACATGTTGGCAGATGTAGAGGTGGTAAAAGCCATTGGTTCTCAGCTGATAGAATTAGTGTGGAGCAAAATAGTAAACACAGATTCCCTAATAATTGACATGAGGTACAACACAGGTGGCTATTCAACAGCAATTCCCCTCTTGTGCACCTATTTCTTTGACGCCGAACCTTTACGGCATCTCTACACTGTCTTCGACCGCACCACAACAACCATGACAGAGGTCATGACATTGCCTCAGGTCAGGGGTCAAAGGTATGGGTCCTCTAAGGACGTCTATATCCTTACCAGTCATATGACGGGGTCAGCTGCCGAAGTTTTCACCCGCACTATGAGGGACCTGAATAGGGCCACAATCATTGGGGAGCCAACGATTGGAGGGTCTCTATCAAGTGGAACCTATCAGATCGGGCACAGTGTCCTGTACGCTTCCATTCCTAACCAGGTTGTGTTGAGTGCGATCACTGGGAAATTGTGGAGCGTTTCAGGGGTTGAGCCTCATGTTATTGCCCAGGCAAATGACGCTCTTCCTGTAGCACAGAGAATCATAGCAGGAAGGCTGCTGAAGAGAGAGAAATCTTAATTTGTGTTGTGTTTAGCCACAACTTTAGTGTCCAGGTTTTATTTGTGGCATGTGGCCTCGTAGTCAGTGAACCAGTCATGCGGTCCACTGACCACAGCTACAGCATACAAAACATCCTCTAATGAAATGTAATAAATTAATAAATGATGAATGAATTGCTAATGTTGTTGACAATATTCCTTCATTTAAGGCAGTAATGTACGGTTTCAGATGTCTTTTCACAAGACAGTGGAAGAAAATAATCCTTGTAATTTTTTTAACATAGGTAGCTTTAATACAACATGTTGGTCTTCCATAACCTGTATCTGTGTGACATTTACATTATCTTCTACAATCCCAGACCAGCCAGCTGTCTCCTCTATGAAACTGAGTTTTACATTTAAGATTCATCCAGAGAGACTTGTGCTAAATGAGTGTGGATTCAATGCACAGTATATCGCATTACAAGAGGGAACTTATTAGCTATAGATAGGATCAAACCTCAAATCTACTATCTGGCATTAAAAACATTAAAGAGAATGCAATGTCTGGGTGTTGACATTACAATAGCCAGTGTAAACAGTGATCTGAAATATTGGGAATAAAACAACTTCACATTAATAATAATAATGCACCAAACATCAGTGTTTGTCAAATTACTTCATAAATAACATTGCACTCTTTTTGATGATGACCTCATACCTCCACAACTCAACTGCATATTTTTATTTATGTCATGTAAAGTAACATTTTTCTCTTCTGTTTAATATTTTCTGTTATTTCCTTTGATTACATTGTGAATGCCACATGTTGTTAGGTAAATATAGTTGATCCAAAATAATCCACGAAAAATAATTTAATGTATGTTGATGTATTTCATTATGTTGGATAATTTGTAATGTCTGCAAAATTTTTTGATTGTTTGCTTATTTTTTTCCCACTGTGTTTTTTCAATATGCTGTAATGATATTTCAGCTTTTCTGTACCTAAAGTACAAAACTACCAGCAGAGGGGGCAAGTACAAAACAAACCGAAACTGATTCTCCATTCAACACTGCTTCAGAAAGGAGACAACCACAACCAGCTGAACAACTGCCCTTAAATGTGCACCATTTATGAAACAATAAAATAATTCAGTGGTTTTGGATTGTTTTTGATTTACTTTCCAGACATTAACAGGAACTTTTCTCTTTGACCATGAATGAATTAATGAGTAGGCCACACATCAACTTTAAGTTTTGAGTTGAATTATATGACAATCATTTTACAAGCTTTATTTCAACAGTTTCTTGTGTTTCATCTTCAATTATGGCACAAAAGTCAAACATCAGTGACTTCCTATTATACTAAAATTTGTATGAATACTGACATCAAGGGGGTTAATAAGTAAACAGAGGCTTACCCTAGCGGGATGGATATTTTCACCACCCTCAATCTATTCCTAGATATTTGTCAGATAGAAAGCTTACCTTAATTGACACAGGAAGCTTTAAATAGACATTCAAAATACCTTGTGTAGATTTAAGACTAGCATCTTTGGCAACACCCCCTTGTTACTACACCTACTTGGCTAGGTTGTTATTGCCTTACAGAAGTACTCAGGTTAATACGATTAGAGGTTTATTGTGGGGCAAATCCTCTTATGTGTGTGTTAACAGAAACCTTGCAGCCAAAACAGTGCCATTTGACAAAGAACTTCTTCAGAGAAGGAAGTTCTGCTCAACAAGCTCCACTTCCAATCTACTCACTTTTTGTCAGAATAAACTGACAAAAATGGTAAAGGCTCTCTTTCTGGTGGCATCTCTGCTGGTTTTGGGAAATGTTTACTTTATTCATGCCTCGTTTCCCCCCAGCCTCCTCGTAGATATGGCAAAAATCGTCATGGACAATTACTGCTCACCAGAGAAGCTGGTGGGAATGAAGGAGGCAATTGACGCCGCCAGCAGCAACACAGAGATTCTCAACATCCCAGACGGTGAATCATTGGCTAATGTCCTCAGTGCTGGAGTCCAGACCACAGTTAGTGACCCACGCGTGCTTGTCTCTTTTGAGCCAAACTATGTTCATGTGGTTCCACCGAAGATGCCACCCTTGCCCCCTGAGCAGCTCATTGCCGTTCTTCAGACTGCGATCAAGCTCGACATCCTAGATGGCAACATTGGCTACCTGAGGATTGATCACATCCTTGGGGAGGAGATTGCTGACAAGGTTGGCCCTTTGCTCCTAGACCTGGTCTGGAATAAAATCCTGCCAACCTCAGCTCTCATCTTCGACTTGCGCTACACCAGCAGCGGTGACATCTCAGGAATTCCCTACATTGTGTCTTACTTCACTGAAGCTGAGCCTCTGATTCACATTGACAGCGTGTATGACCGTCCCTCAAACACCACCACTAAGCTATTTTCTATGCCTACACTGCTGGGGCACAGGTATGGCACTACCAAACCCCTCATTATCCTTACCAGCAAAAACACTAAGGACATTGCCGAGGATGTTGCCTACTGCCTCCAGAACCTGAAGAGGGCGACCATTGTGGGTGAGAAGACCTCCGGGGGCGCTGTGAAACTCGATAAAATCAAAGTGGGCGACACTGACTTCTACATTACTGTGCCAACGGCAAAGTCCATCAATCCCATCACTGGCTCCAGCTGGGAGGTTACAGGTGTGGCTCCTGATGTGGAGGTCAACGCGGAGGACGCCCTCGCTACAGCCATCAAGATCGTCAACCTCCGTGTCCAAGTTCCAGCCATCATTGAGGGATCAGCTAACCTGATTGCTGACAACTATGCCTTTGAAAATATCGGGGCTGATGTTGCTGAAAAGTTGAAAGGGCTCCTGGCAAACGGCGAGTACAGCATGGTTGTCTCCAAAGACGATCTAGAGGCAAAGCTGTCCGCTGACCTGAAGACGCTATCTGGGGACAAGAGTCTGAAGACAACCAAGAACACCCCAGCCCTGCCCCCCATGGTAAGACCCTTGTGCATAAGATTATTGGGGGGTTTTGTGAAAGTATCTTTCATTGTCACTTGATGTCAAACAGCTTATAGAATTGTTTTTTACTGACAAAATAATCTATTGCGGCAATTTTTACTTACACTTCACTTATACAGCTAAATATTCTCTGTACCTTTCCAAAAGTATTGGTTACATTTATACTGTTATGTTGAGTATATATACAATAAAATTGTCATGATATTTTTAAGCTTTTAAAGTCAAATTAATACTACACAAGACACACAACTAAAATGTTTGTAATATGTAACAAATCAAATGTATTTAGTAGCCTATGTGAAATATATATCTGCTGAAAGCATTATGTTTTTATTACATTATGTTATATTACAAATGCTGAGTTGTTGCTTGTTCTTCTACCACAGAATTATTCTCCAGAGATGTACATTGAGCTGATCAAAGTCTCCTTCCACACTGACATATTTGAGAACAACATTGGCTACCTGCGTTTTGACATGTTCGGAGACTTTGAAGAGGTCAAGCCCATTGCTCAGATTATTATTGAGCATGTCTGGAACAAAGTTGTCAACACTGATGCTATGATTATTGACCTCAGGTGAGTAATCCTGCTCATAAAGCTAGATTTAAAATGCCGTATGTCCATTTTGAAAAACAAATCATCCACTGAAGCTGCTAAAGCTCATCGGTCTACGTCTGTATATAGAAGACTTAGTCTGCATAAGTTTAGCCGTATTTTTGAGGATTTATCTATATAAAACATTTAAAATTTCCACCACCAACAGATCTAGATGACTAACTGAATCTAGGAAGAAAAAAGCGGTAGGATGCTGATCGGTTGCTCAATAAACTCACTTGAACATAGGTTCTTACCTAATAACATTGTGTCTGATCACCCAAGATGAGATGACACCTTTATCAATGCCTGCATAAATGAAAAGTGTACAAAGGATCATTCAATTTCATCATGAATCTAGCCATTCTATGATTATTCTGCAACTGCTTTTGCAGGAACAACATTGGTGGCCCAACAACAGCCATCTCAGGCTTCTGCTCGTACTTCTTTGACGCAGAAAAGCAGATTGTGCTGGATAAGCTGTATGACAGACCATCCGGCACCACCACAGAGCTTCTGACCCTGCCTGAGCTCACTGGTAATAAAACAAAAATCAAGTCATTGTGTTTTACTCATTGTGTATTGTGCCATTGATTCCTGTTAGCAACACATTTAGCAGCTAGCTGGTGAACACAGTGGAGCATTTAGCAGATAAAGAGCCAGACATTTCCCTTATGTGTTGGTGGAGACTAAAAGGAGAGATAAATAGAAAGCTATTAAAGGCTACTTTGGTTAACACGAAAGCTACATTTTCCTATGCTAATCTGCTTTCCGCATTCTTTTGAAGGGATGTTACTACTCCTACCCGCAACTCTCTCTTCTGCTTTTATTACATAATTCACTACCCTAATACACATACATATCCATGGCTCCTTGGCACTTCCTTCTTTCACTTCAACATTGACCCTTCGCACTATCCACCCACCCACTTCTCTACCTTGTCTTCCTCGTATTATATTTTTAACCTTGTTCTTCCTCCATCTTATCCTCTTCCTCAGGCATAAGGTACGGCTCCAAGAAGAGCCTGATCATCCTGACCAGCGGAGTGACTGCAGGCGCAGCAGAGGAGTTTGTTTACATCATGAAGAAGCTCGGCCGCGCTATGATTGTCGGAGAAACCACCGCCGGGGCCTCCCACCCGCCCAAGACCTTCCAAGTTGATGACACCGACATCTTCCTCAGCATCCCCACCGTCCACTCTGACAGTGCCGTAGGGCCAGCTTGGGAGAGAGTTGGCGTCACACCTCACATTCCCGTCTCAGCTGACGCTGCCCTGGGGACCGCCAAGGGCATCTTCAACAAGCACTTTGCAGGCCAGAAGTAAACCACGACTAGGACAAAGCCAGTGGGGTTTTAGTGGTCACTTTTGCTTTGGCAGCCAAAAGGATTTCAAGATTTAGAATCTAGACTTGTTTAAGAAGTGAAGAATGTAGATTAAGTACAAAGTAACAAGTCTAATCTCTCATTCATCAGCTCAAGTTGTTTAGCAAATGTCCAACAGTAGGATTTACTTCTAGTTTTTATTTCTGTTGAATGTTACACTGGCTGTTTTCAGAATGAATGGCTCTGAGATGCCAGTATACATAAGTATGTGTCAAAGATCAGTTGTAACATCAAAACATTCAACTTTCAAACATTTTATTTTTCAGAGGTCACCTGCAAAAAAGAAGAAACTAATTAAGTAAACACACGCAAAATGCGTTCAGACTAAGTTTGCTAATTGTCCAAATTTGGAATTGGGACCTCTGTGAAGTAATCCACTTGTTGCTCTGGTCAGAAAACCATCACTTGTCCTCCCTGTGTATGGGGAATACTGTATGTCCAATATGTCATGTGGGCCTTCTTGGGTCAAATTAATTTCACTGGTGAGACACAATAAAAAGATAACTGAAATACAAAACAGATGTGTGTGTTGGTCATATTTTTCATCATTTTACTATTGCAAAAGTCCTTTTCATGAATTTATTGTGTACCTATTCTAAAGCGAAGTGCAGGCAGCAACTTTTGGATACAGAACCAAATGAGTTTGTCATAACACATTGCTGTCAGATACAACACTATTAACCAACAGCTGGAGGGGAGAGAACAAAACATTTATCTTAATGATGCTGTTAAATTGTCACATTAGACAGCAATGGAGTAAAAATATGGATTTCTACATCTGTACCACAATAGACAAATTCTTGGTACCCAAAGGAATCATCTAGCAGACAACCAACAGATGATTTCACCAAGATTGAAAGTGAACTGCACCGCAAGCACAGTCTGCTTAAGGGGACTGTTATGCAGCTTTTCCAACCTTGTCATTTGTTGGTGACAGTACAATTGTGAAGATTATACTGTGTTTAAGGTCAATTATGTCAGACTGCGGGAACCTGTTAGTTTTTGGTGGGACAGTGTTGGTGGTTTCAGTGGTTTAGGTCCTGAGTGGAACAAAATCAGTAAAGGACAAGCCATGTGACTTCCGTATAAAATACAATAACATACATAAGAACCCATTTTTATTGTTGTTCATACTGGATGCCAAAAAGAAAGCAAGTATTTGTTTCAGGAATACAGAATCTGAACCTATCAATTGACAAGTCTTCCAGTATCATCTTATTAAAACGTGTAAAAATAAAATATATTTTTGTGTTAAAGAACAATGCTCAACTCATCTTATTTTGAAAAAAAATTACACTCAAACTATTATTTCTTAATTGAGAACATGCACCCATGTAGCTAAGTAGGTAAGACTCCCTGCCTTGATGACCTTGGTTTTGGGGTGCACTTCAAAAAACCACTGGATGTAAGTGTTTATAAGTGTGCTGTACATTAAGTGGTGTTTATGTTAATGAATGTGAAGATTTATGAATGGATTTAAGTGGATATAAGTGGATATGTTTGGACATGAGACATAGGAGCAGGGCTGTGGACTTTTATTTGTACACCAAAAGGATCAGAAAGGATCAGTTAGGTGGGGGGAAAGTCTGCATGCATCAATATGTGCTGAGACTTTAAACAGGGGCCAAAGGGTTAAGGGACATATGGTATGTGTAGGGAAAGGAGTTAGGGGGAGCTCAAGCAGCTCCACAATAAGGATTGACTACTGACTTTTTAGGAATCTGTTTGTCTGCCTGGTTTGTGTATAAGTGACAGGACAGCTGATTAATGTTCAAGTATATAAATACTCACTCATACTTCCCAGAAGAACAAAAGGACGAAACCCTAACAGGCATATAGGAACTAGCTTTTTTGTTGTTTGTTTGTGTGTCATAACAGATTTCAGGAAAGAGGTAAGCATAAATTATGCTAATTGCTTTCATTCTGAAATGTACTATTGCTAACCAACACTTTGTAGTTAGCTTGTCATTTTAGCTGTTCTTTGAAGTTCAAACTACACAACCCATCATGAGCTGCTGTCAAAAAAGTGGCAAAAAATACCAAAAATTTAAACACATTTTTAACGAATGGTCTCGTCAGTACAACCTCTTTGACAATTACATGGAATTTCCTGTGACTGCTTTACAATAAAAACGTTTTAACCTTTAACCTAACCATTTGAAGCTGCAGCAGGAGCAGCAGCTGATGTGTCTGTAAGACAGTACAGTAAGGCTGATATCAATTTGACAGCTGAATAACATTGATGCATTGTTTCCCCTCCTGTGTAAGAAAGCAATATGAGTCCTGAACGGGAATGGCGGACTCCAACACTAACAATAAAAGATATGTGGTAATTGCTGGGTGTAAATACATTAAATGTCTGTTGCTGAAATAATGCCAATCATAAGGGGTTGATTTTATGAAAATCTCAAGGATTTGCATAAGCAGATACAGAAAGGGCCTACATGGTGCATAAAAAACATATCACAGTAAACCTTGTGCCATGTAGCATTTCACTCTAGCTATTCTCAACTAAATGGACAGAGAGTAAGGGGTTAATAGGGGCCCAGATGATAGTGTCTGTTTCAATAAACAAAATAATCAAGGTAAACTTGTCAGCCAGATTATGTCTTTGGAGATAAACTTTACTCATAAAAAATATTTTAATGATCCAATCTATCCCTCTATCCATAGGTATCATTTACACTGGGGACGCTGGGGACATGTCCCCACTACTTTTTGAAATAGCTGATTTTGTCCCCACCACGTTTTAAAAGCATAATTTGTTTAACAAATGAAAATGCCTTTAGAAAGGTTTATTTGCACACTAAGACTCTGACCCTGCCTGAGCTCACTGGTAATAAAACAAAAATCAAGTCATTGTGTTTTACTCATTGTGTATTGTGCCATTGATTCCTGTTAGCAACACATTTAGCAGCTAGCTGGTGAACACAGTGGAGCATTTAGCAGATAAAGAGCCAGACATTTCCCTTATGTGTTGGTGGAGACTAAAAGGAGAGATAAATAGAAAGCTATTAAAGGCTACTTTGGTTAACACGAAAGCTACATTTTCCTATGCTAATCTGCTTTCCGCATTCTTTTGAAGGGATGTTACTACTCCTACCCGCAACTCTCTCTTCTGCTTTTATTACATAATTCACTACCCTAATACACATACATATCCATGGCTCCTTGGCACTTCCTTCTTTCACTTCAACATTGACCCTTCGCACTATCCACCCACCCACTTCTCTACCTTGTCTTCCTCGTATTATATTTTTAACCTTGTTCTTCCTCCATCTTATCCTCTTCCTCAGGCATAAGGTACGGCTCCAAGAAGAGCCTGATCATCCTGACCAGCGGAGTGACTGCAGGCGCAGCAGAGGAGTTTGTTTACATCATGAAGAAGCTCGGCCGCGCTATGATTGTCGGAGAAACCACCGCCGGGGCCTCCCACCCGCCCAAGACCTTCCAAGTTGATGACACCGACATCTTCCTCAGCATCCCCACCGTCCACTCTGACAGTGCCGTAGGGCCAGCTTGGGAGAGAGTTGGCGTCACACCTCACATTCCCGTCTCAGCTGACGCTGCCCTGGGGACCGCCAAGGGCATCTTCAACAAGCACTTTGCAGGCCAGAAGTAAACCACGACTAGGACAAAGCCAGTGGGGTTTTAGTGGTCACTTTTGCTTTGGCAGCCAAAAGGATTTCAAGATTTAGAATCTAGACTTGTTTAAGAAGTGAAGAATGTAGATTAAGTACAAAGTAACAAGTCTAATCTCTCATTCATCAGCTCAAGTTGTTTAGCAAATGTCCAACAGTAGGATTTACTTCTAGTTTTTATTTCTGTTGAATGTTACACTGGCTGTTTTCAGAATGAATGGCTCTGAGATGCCAGTATACATAAGTATGTGTCAAAGATCAGTTGTAACATCAAAACATTCAACTTTCAAACATTTTATTTTTCAGAGGTCACCTGCAAAAAAGAAGAAACTAATTAAGTAAACACACGCAAAATGCGTTCAGACTAAGTTTGCTAATTGTCCAAATTTGGAATTGGGACCTCTGTGAAGTAATCCACTTGTTGCTCTGGTCAGAAAACCATCACTTGTCCTCCCTGTGTATGGGGAATACTGTATGTCCAATATGTCATGTGGGCCTTCTTGGGTCAAATTAATTTCACTGGTGAGACACAATAAAAGATAACTGAAATACAAAACAGATGTGTGTGTTGGTCATATTTTTCATCATTTTACTATTGCAAAAGTCCTTTTCATGAATTTATTGTGTACCTATTCTAAAGCGAAGTGCAGGCAGCAACTTTTGGATACAGAACCAAATGAGTTTGTCATAACACATTGCTGTCAGATACAACACTATTAACCAACAGCTGGAGGGGAGAGAACAAAACATTTATCTTAATGATGCTGTTAAATTGTCACATTAGACAGCAATGGAGTAAAAATATGGATTTCTACATCTGTACCACAATAGACAAATTCTTGGTACCCAAAGGAATCATCTAGCAGACAAGCAACAGATGATTTCACCAAGATTGAAAGTGAACTGCACGCAAGCACAGTCTGCTTAAGGGGACTGTTATGCAGCTTTTCCAACCTTGTCATTTGTTGGTGACAGTACAATTGTGAAGATTATACTGTGTTTAAGGTCAATTATGTCAGACTGCGGGAACCTGTTAGTTTTTGGTGGGACAGTGTTGGTGGTTTCAGTGGTTTAGGTCCTGAGTGGAACAAAATCAGTAAAGGACAAGCCATGTGACTTCCGTATAAAATACAATAACATACATAAGAACCCATTTTTATTGTTGTTCATACTGGATGCCAAAAAGAAAGCAAGTATTTGTTTCAGGAATACAGAATCTGAACCTATCAATTGACAAGTCTTCCAGTATCATCTTATTAAAACGTGTAAAAATAAAATATTTTTGTGTTAAAGAACAATGCTCAACTCATCTTATTTTGAAAAAAAATTACACGCAAACTATTATTTCTGAATTGAGAACATGCACCCATGTAGCCAAGTAGGTAAGACTCCCTGCCTTGATGACCTTGGTTTTGGGGTGCACTTCAAAAAACCACTGGATGTAAGTGTTTATAAGTGTGCTGTACATTAAGTGGTGTTTATGTTAATGAATGTGAAGATTTATGAATGGATTTAAGTGGATATAAGTGGATATGTTTGGACATGAGACATAGGAGCAGGGCTGTGGACTTTTATTTGTACACCAAAAGGATCAGAAAGGATCAATTAGGTGGGGGGAAAGTCTGCATGCATCAACATGTGCTGAGACTTTAAACAGGGGCCAAAGGGTTAAGGGACATATGGTATGTGTAGGGAAAGGAGTTAGGGGGAGCTCAAGCAGCTCCACAATAAGGATTGACTACTGACTTTTTAGGAATCTGTTTGTCTGCCTGGTTTGTGTATAAGTGACAGGACAGCTGATTAATGTTCAAGTATATAAATACTCACTCATACTTCCCAGAAGAACAAAAGGACGAAACCCTAACAGGCATATAGGAACTAGCTTTTTTGTTGTTTGTTGTGTGTCATAACAGATTTCAGGAAAGAGGTAAGCATAAATTATGCTAATTGCTTTCATTCTGAAATGTACTATTGCTAACCAACACTTTGTAGTTAGCTTGTCATTTTAGCTGTTCTTTGAAGTTCAAACTACACAACCCATCATGAGCTGCTGTCAAAAAAGCGGCAAAAAATACCAAAAATTTAAACACATTTTTAACGAATGGTCTCGTCAGTACAACCTCTTTACAATTACATGGAATTTCCTGTGACTGCTTTACAATAAAAACGTTTTAACCTTTAACCTAACCATTTGAAGCTGCAGCAGGAGCAGCATCTGATGTGTCTGTGAGATGTACAGATGATAAGTACAGTAAGGCTGATATCAATTTGACAGCTGAATAACATTGATGCATTGTTTCCCCTCCTGTGTAAGAAAGCAATATGAGTCCTGAACGGGAATGGCGGACTCCAACACTAACAATAAAAGATATGTGGTAATTGCTGGGTGTAAATACATTAAATGTCTGTTGCTGAAATAATGCCAATCATAAGGGGTTGATTTTATGGAAATCTCAAGGATTTGTAACTTTAAGCAGATACAGAAAGGGCCTACATGGTGCATAAAAAACATATCACAGTAAACCTTGTGCCATGTAGCATTTCACTCTAGCTATTCTCAAATAAATGGACAGAGAGTAAGGGGTTAATAGGGGCCCAGATGATAGTGTCTGTTTCAATAAACAAAATAATCAAGGTAAACTTGTCAGCCAGATTATGTCTTTGGAGATAAACTTTACTCATAAAAAATATTTTAATGATCCAATCTATCCCTCTATCCATAGGGATATTTACACATTTACACTGGGGACGCTGGGGACATGTCCCCACTACTTTTTGAAATAGCTGATTTTGTCCCCACCACGTTTTAAAAGCATAATTTGTTTAACAAATGAAAATGCATGAAAGGTTTATTTGAACACTAAGAAAACCTGCAATGAAAATAAAATATAGAAGAACCAAATGTGCAATGTCCAAAAAAAAGTAAAACTAAAAAAACAAAACAAGCTACTGATCAGAAAATGACCCAAAAACGTGCAGCTTTAACAACTTCTTAGCACAGTTTCTTTTTGGCCAAGTTTTCTGTTCTCTCCCTGTGAACATGACAAAAGAGGAGAGAAGACTCATGCCTGCATATGTGTTGCCTCAGCAGGGATGATATTACATGAGAAAAGTTGATCTACAAGAGAAACATGTGAAAGTAACACAGAATGCCTGAGAGCTGCACTCACTTAGATTCTATTACATTTATATTTATTAAAATGTCACGTGCTACCTGAATTTTGTTTTTCCTTTTACATGAATAAAAACATTTGAGAAACTTTCACCAGAATGCAGGAAATGAAGATTTTAATGATCAAAAGGTCCCCAGACCTCCCACTCATATATCTCGGCATTGAGTATATAGTAGCCTATATTGAAACACTGTTTAAGGATCTTTTCCTCTCCTTCTTGTGAACCTAAAATCGCATATCCTGACTTCTTGCAAGCTAAGTGTCTCTTCATACCCCTAATCTGAACCCCAATGTCCCCACCACTTTTCAACACAAAGTGACGCCCTTGCCTCCATCCTTCCAACTTCACCCAATAGTATACTTTTTTCAACTGATTAACAGTGCTCGGATCAGCTCCATGTTTGATGAACAACAAAAACACATTTTGTTATAAGTGTTGTAGGCTACTCCTTGAATATGCCATCAGCAACAGTATATATTTGCCCCTCTCATTACAGCCTCTGGTTCATGGTGTAATAACAGAGGATGTTGCCGTTCATGGCCCCGGCTGCTGTAATTAACTGGTAGCAGCAGCGCGGTGTAAGCAAACAAACTTGTAGTGATTATTGAGGACAAAGTGAGGAGAGACTACATAAATGCACACATTGGTTTAAGGGTGGTAAAATATGACAATAGGCTCCAGCATACAGCAGTAACAGTTATTATCCCATTCCGCCCTGCGCCGATTCCCCGCAAAATGCGCCAGTCTGCCACGTGAGGGAGGCGCAAAATGGGATCCTGACCCATTTTTCCTCTTTCTCTCTCCTCCTCAGTTTGAAATATGAAACCTGGTCCATTTCAGCCAAGTCTGTCCCCCGGGCTCCCAGTTCCTCCAGCGCCAACCCTGCTATGCATTACCCAAGTTCATTCGGCTTTTTCAGACCTAAACCAGTTTTGACACTTTGACAGGAAACTTTTATCCTTTTTTTTAAAGAACCACCCATTCCATCATTTTATCCACTTCTGCCCTTGACACGGGGTTGGATTCGTTCCCGCAAAGGTTGTTTTTAAAACCTTTTCCTCCCTTCTAACTGAATGTGGACTCTGAAATATCTGAAACTTTTACTTTTCAATCATTCCCATTGAGAGAAAGCATCTCTCCAGCTGCCTTTTTGACCGCGATGCTGGAGGTCATGATTTAAAAGCTCCAAGGAAAAGAGTGGAAGCATCGCCTGCATCCTCTCTTTTGTCTTTGTTGCATCTCTGCATCTTTAATTATATAACTGGGATGTAAGAAGACACTAAACCGGTGTGGTTTGATTTTTTCTTTTCATCCACAAAGGAATTAACAATGGCGAGATTTTTGTTGAACATGCGTCTTGTTCTGATTTTCTTGGGATTATTTTTGCTCTCTTCTCCATCCGCAAGATCCGAGCCGGAGCAACAGGACGAAGAGGAGGAGGAGAGCTCCTGTCAGGGCGCTTTTGACCTGTATTTTGTGCTTGATAAGTAAGTAGAAACAGCTGAGAACTGTTTTCTGATCATAAAGACTTGTTAGGAATATCTGGGATATCTAACTAGCCTGTAGCAGTTTCTCCGGTGAAAGGAGTTAGCAAAACACCAAAAAAAAAAGCTAACATCTGCATTTACTTTTCGTGTTACTGTTAAGGCTTTTATTGCGGTCTTTTTGCTTGGTTTGTGTCATGCTCATGCTGTAAGTGAGGACAGAATAGGCTGTTTATTTTCCAAACATGAGGTGAATGATACGAAAGTCCCAGCTTCTAACACGACTGTTTCAAAAAGTATCAAATAAGTTTATCGGGGGGCTGATTAGCACCGCTGCATCTGTGCGCGTGCGCGCGCGCGGGATGACGCTAGAGAGGAGGCTGACTTGCAGACTGCAGTTTGCTTAATAAGCGAAAAGAGTGGTGACTATTTGGATGCTAAAATAATGATATCTCTCCCCTTCTTTGCATGTTAAACCCCGCTGCGGCTTTTTCCACATCACTGTGAAATTCTCCTGAAAAATAAACCTTTAAAACTCTCCAAGGCAGAGAGGCCTTTCTTTGATTCCCACCCATGCCAGAGGGGACTTTTTTTGCTCTTTGCTCAGCTCACCGTTTCATTTCCACTTTCTGTACGCCCACATAGGAAAAATGTTGTGGTTATGTGACATCTTAGTGGTGGACTTAAGCGGGGAGAAAATAAAATGTCAGAGAAAATTAGGAGAAACTTCTAGAGTGCCTGGTTCTCTTTGAATGCCTTCAATTGCACACTTTTATTATTCAGGTTTTGTTACTTGTGTTTTTTTGACATAATGCAATACTGGAATCCTCCTCTGTGCCATTTTGAGACCTAATATCCAAGCAATGTTTAACTTTATTGCAGCACTGCTGCTTGGTCTGCCTAGTTTTATCTTGATATTACCCAGTCTGGATCTAAAGCATTGTTGTATCTTCAACTTGCACTAATGGAACAATGCCAGAAATCAGTAGGGGAAACAAGAAAGGACAGGAAGCAACAACTTTTATGGAAAATGTGGTCTTAATTTGGAAAACAAAATGTTGCACGCAACACCTTTAAAAGCCTGTTTTTGCGGTTTTAAAAAAATGAGATGTCTCATGAAGATTAGCATCACTGGTGTCTCTATAACATCTCATATGCCCCTGGGTGGATGGTGTTATCAAAAGGACTTTTTCAGGCTGATAGCCCCCAGCGGGAGTCAGTGCCTGTTCACGGCACCTTTGACTTTTTCCTGACATTTCATTCCTGAAGTGGACACAAACATGGGACTGCTCCCCAGATGTGGAGGGCTGTGTTTGGCTAGCGCTGTGTGGTAAACACTGACACATGCTGCAAATAAGGAAACAGCTTCTTCTTCTTTTTTTTCAATGACAGATGCTATTGTTTGCTCGTGTGCATACTTTGGTGCCCACTCCCGGGGTGATTAACAAGGTTTAGACTTTTGCTGTGGACTTCAAACTAGGGGAAGCTCATTAGAGACCTGTCTCAGCCAACCCCATCCCTCAGGCCTGAGTTGGGTTTATGAGACACGGTCTGAACTTTCTGCCCTGGTTGATCCATATGGAAGGCGTACAGTGTGTGAGAAGGAGTTTCAGTATGTAGAACAGGAGACACTATACTACCTTCCTTCATCAATGTAAGACACAAAGAACTACTGCAAGGTTTTTTGGAGAGTTTGAATCATTGGTCACCTGGATTCTAACCTGGCATGGTTGTGTTGTTGGAGCCACCTAGCCATAGATCTGTTGCTTCTATTTTCCTAACCCTTTTGTAAATCACCACCGAAGGGTGCTCAAAATGTTGTATTATAAAGCAATAACAAGAGATACAGAGGGTTTCGGTGCCATTCTTTAATCATATTTTTAATAAAGTGACCTAAGAGGAAAACTTCATAAATGTTTGATTAGTCTTTGACGTCAGGCAAAAAGGGACACAGAGGAAGTTAAATTATAGTGAGTAGCACAATAGACTAGACTGAGCACTATGGTTAATCAGAGTATGTAACAGGGGTGAAAAGTAAAGCCATAACCAAATCTTAACAAGCTGTGAGTTAATAATTTAGCAATATTTAATGATCAAAACTAAGTGTCCACAGCCAAACTAGCAGCTCTGGGAGGCTGCACTTAGGCACAGCGATGGTTTGAGCTAAATGCTAACATGCTCAAAATGTTTAGCATGACAAGTTTACCAGGTATGTTTACCATGTTCACCATCTTTTATATATTATGTCAGCGTAGAATGCTAATCACGCTGATTAGCACTTAACACAAAGAGGCTGATGGGAATGTCATTCGTTTCTCTGAACATTTAAAACATTTAAAAACATGATTATTGAACGTTATCTGGGGCTTTGCAGAATTGTCCGATACCAACATTACGTCTGCAGATAGGGTTGGTAGTGTTTTGCTGGAAAGAAATTGTATAGACAAATTGTTATGCTGATGGGATTGGGATGGGTCTGATCAAGAATGAGAAACACACTGGGCACTGTGTGTCTGCCTTGGCTCATAAAGTCGACTCCAAAGGCATTTATTGTTCGGGCAGATGATGTCACGCCATGGCTCGATCATGTAGGACAGTGCTCTCTGAGACATATAAGTGGCTGCAGCATGAAGGGTAGAGAAGGTGACTAATGACCGTATGGCTGCCAGTTTGAATCTGGGACATCTGGGTAAGGGTTTGGAAAATGTGGGCTTTAGTTAAATTAAGTTAGTTAAGTGCCCTGCAGAACTACAGTATATATGACATCCTGAAGGAAAGTAGGGTTGATACAAACCGCATGAGGTGTCAAAAGGCAGCAACAGAAACAATCAGTGACAGAAATAAAAGGTAGCAACCAAATAGATGTAGAGGCTGGATTTCCCTTCAAGTCCCAGCAGCACACAGGTGTTAAACTGCAACATTAATGCACAGGCAGTAATAATTAGAAGGATAGAGATGCTGGAGTAAATGGGAGACTGCTAACGCGTATGATGTTCAGGCAGGAACAAAAACGGTGTCAAAATGACACAAAATCCAAATGAAACCTGATGAAACAAGGGTGTTGATTGAAAAAACAAAACAATTCCCAATCCTTGGCTGATAAAAGATAACAAATGTTTTCATTAAATAAGATGTGGGAACGTATGGGCCATAGCCACATCCCACCACCCGCAGTTAACGACGTGACATCATGTCCCCGTTTTGTGGTGTATGGTGTATGGATCGTAAGTAGACATACAATAGCAGTTAACTAATTTCTCCACTACTGTTAACTAAATAAAGTGACACAGAAACAAGACATGAAGAATCTACAGTCATGCTAGCAGCTTTGTGAGTCTGCGTTTATATACACAGCGTGTATATACAGTGTTCGAGCTAAATGCTACCGTCATCATGCTAAGATCCTTACAATGACGAGGATAATGTGCTGATGTTAGGCAGGTGTAATGTTTTGTCTTTTTCACCATCTTAGTTTAGTGTGTTGGCATGCTAACATTTGCTAATTAGCACTTAACTGAAAGTACTGCTAAGGCCAAGGGGAATGTCCTTTGTTTTGGCCATACAGCAACGTATTGGACAAATTAAAATGTTGACCTTATGATGGCACTAGAGGTAAATTCAGAGGATCACCAAAGGCTAGCTTGGCTAAGAATTTATGCACAACCAAAATCTAACAGCCAGTGGCTGATGGTAGTTGTAGTTTCCCACCCAGAACTCCAGACACATTTTTGAATTTGGGGCAAATAAGTTTTGAGGAGATTTGCTTGTTGGTCAATTTAACTCAAATTATTAAACTATAAGCCTTAAAATAGCCACTGTGATCATTTGGTGTATACCTTTAAGCCCTATACTGCTGCATATGTATACAAGGATGTATATTTGCTGATTCAGAGTGGGCGGGAAGCAGCAAACTGTTTTATATGGAGCACAGAGCCAGAGGAATGGTTTTGGGTGTGTTCATATGGGAGACAAAGGAATTCACCTATAGGCCAAATGTTAATGTTCACCGCTTGATGAAAATGGCATTTAACCATCTTGTTTGTGTTTTAATTGGGCACAAATTTGAAGACATTCTTGCACATGGTAATTCCACAGTAGCACTGGATAACAATATCAGCTAAGGAAGATTAAAAAGTCTAAGCCTTGTAGTAGCATTTTATTATTACAAAGTGAGATCATTGAGAGATCAACAGGCATGCAAACAGACACATGTAGCCTCACAAGCTGTCTTCCCCTCTTTCACTCTGTGTCAGTGTCTGCTTGTGTGCGATTCTTTTCAACAAGCGCTTTCCATTTATCTCTCTCTTGTTTCCACCAGACTCTCATTACCTCTTCAATCCAAAGTCATCATCGCCACACTTGGTGTTACTGCAGTTTCATTGTTTTAAGATGTAGCCTAGAGATACACTATTATTGCACACTTTACTGCTGCTATTAATAATAATCTTTCTCTGGGAGGCCTGGGCCAAATCACAGCCATTTCTGTCTTGTCTTTATTTTTTAGCACTAATCATGGCTGCAAAATGTTTTTGTTGTTTGTTGTGTTGTTGGTTGTGGATGTAGTCACAAGTTGGCGCACTGTTTGCCCGTTGGGTCATGTTGCCTGAATCCTGGCAAGTCAGCGGAAAAACCAAGATGCAGCTGCAGTCCATAAATATTTTCGATGTGTCTAGCTGTGGAATACGTTCTAGCTGTGGAATGACACTCACTCTGTGTTTTGTCATTTTGCCATATGCAGCGTGTTGCTTTAGTGTTTTCAGCAGGAAGAAATGTCTTGTTAAATGATATCATGCTGTCTGAAGACCCCGGGGACAAAAACAAGACCAGAAGTTTTAATGGGAATGAATGCCACCTTAACCCTAATCCAAATCAGTCTACAGTAAAAAGTGCATTACTAATTACATTTTAGGTCAGGTAAAGAAACATCTGTGTGATTTAACACATCTAAAATGCCCCTCTACCTGCTCGATTTTCCCCAAACAATTCCTTTTTGGAATAGACGT